TACGTTATCCTGGGCGCTTTTTCCGGTAACACTCACTTCAAAACCCTGGAATTCACTGTCACTGACATTTTCATCGCTGTTAGAGCTATCACTTGGGAACAAAAGACCTCCAATCCGCCGAGGAGTGAGGAACTTCTTACCGAGAGGCATGGTGAAAATGGACTAACAAGATGGCGTTCCCACAATGCACCGCTGGGTCCCAGATTTTTTTCACAGGGTGCACACCGACCACTGAGACCCATTCTCTCTCATGTAGGCCTACCAGGCCTTTCCCGCTTGATTTGAAGCCGCTAGAATTTGTGCGTATAAATACGTCAGAAACATTGGCTCGTAAGATGTATTTATACGTCGGAAACAGTCAAAGGTTTAAAAACCATTCGTCTCCATTCACTCCTTTTGAACACGCTCACGCATGCCCGCTGGAAGTCCAAGCCCCTCGCACACAAAACCTCCTTTACCACCTCCCTCCAACCTTTCCTAGGCCGACCCCTACCCCGCCTTCCTTCCACTACAGACTGATACACTCTTGAAGTCATTCTGTTTCGCTCCATTCTCTCTACATGTCCGAACCACCTCAACAACCTTTCCTCAGCCCTCTGGACAACAGTTTTGGCAATCCCACACCTCCTCCTAACTTCCAAACTACGAATTCTCTGCATTATATTCACATCACACATTGCCCTCAGACATGACATCTCCACTGCCTCCAGCCTTCTCCTCGCTGCAATATTCATCACCCATGCTTCACACCCATACAGGAGCTTTGGTAAAACTGTACTCTCATACATTCCCCTCTTTGCTTCCAAGGACAAAGTTCTTTGTCTCCACAGACTCCTAAGTGCACCGCTCACCCTTTTCCCCTCATCAATTCTATGATTCACCTCATCTTTCATAGACCCATCCGCTGACACGTGCACTCCCAAATATCTGAATACATTCATCTCCTCCATACTCTCGCCCTCCAATCTGATATCCAATCTTTCATCACCTAATCTTTTTGTTATCCTCATAACCTTACTCTTTCCTGCATTCATTTTCAATTTTCTTCTTTTACATACCCTACCAAATTCATCCACCAACCTCTACAACTTCTCTTCAGAATCACCCAAGAGCTCAGTGTCATCAGCAAAGAGCAACTGTGACAACTCCCACTTTATGTGTGATTCTTTATCTTTTAACTCCACACCTCTTGCCAAGACCCTCGCATTTACTTCTCTTACAACCCCATCTATAAATATATTAAACAACCACGGTGACATCACACATCCTTGTCTAAGGTCTACTTTTACTGGGAAATAATCTTCCTCTAACATGAGCCTCACTATCTTCTTAAAAACTCTTCACTGCTTTCAGTAACCTACCTCCTTTACCATACATCTGCAACATGTGCCACATTGCCCCCCTATCCACCCTGTCATATGCCTTTTTCCAAATCCATAAATGCCACAAAAACCTCTTTAGCCTTATCTAAACACTGTTCACTTATATGTTTCACTGTAAACACCTGGTCCACACACCCCTACCTTTCCTAAAGCCTCCTTGTTCATCTGCTATCCTATTCTCCATCTTACTCTTAATTCTTTCAATAATAACTCTACCATACACTTTACCAGGTATACTCAACAGACTTATCCCCTTACAATTTTTGCACTTTCTTTTGTCCCCTTTGCCTTTATACAAAGGAACTATGCATGCTCTCTGCCAATCCCTATGTACCTTACCTTCTTCCATACATTTAATAAATAATAGCACCAACCACTCCAAAACTATATCCCCACCTGCTTTTAACATTTCTATCTTTATCCCATCAATCCCGGCTGCCTTACCCCCTTTCATTTTAGCTACTGCCTCACGAACTTCCCCCACACTCACAACTGGCTCTTCCTCACTCCTACAAGATGTTATTCCTCCTTGCCATATACACGAAATGACAGCTTCCTTGTCTTCATCAACATTCAATAATTCCTCAAAATGTTCCCTCCATCTTTGTTCCCTCCAAGAACAAAGTATAATAAACGTAAAATAAAGAAAAGCAATTTTGTGGAAATCGCTAATGTTGCCACCACCCGGTCATTTTGGGTCAACTTGTCGCCTCTGTATCTCGGTAAGTACTGATCAGAATTTTTTTTTGTTTTATTACCTTTACAAAAATATACTCTTTAATTCTGTAAGTTTTTTTTTTTTTTTTTTTTTTTTTTTTTTTTTTTTTTTTTTTTTTTTTTTTTTTTTTTTTTTTTTTTCAAAATTTCTTGGACACTGTGGCACCACTTCAGATTTTGCCTTTGGACCCTGAAAGGGTTAAATATAATAATTTTCTGTAGGTAATAAAACAAAAAAAAACTTTCAATCAGTAGTTACCGAGATATAGAGGCATGAAGTTGACCCTCAATGACTTGGTGGCGGAAACATCCGCGACTTCCGTAAATTCTCATAATTTTATTTTAGGTTTTTGTTTCTTTTTTCTTTTCTTTTCTAACATTTTTTTCCAGTAACTTTTGTGGCCTGTGAAACCAATATAATGTATTATGTATAAATGTACACTCATTGTATTCAACACAATAACTGCACTAATTTGTTTATCATTATATTGCTTACAAAACTTGTTTACAAGTTTATGGTAAACAAAATAATGATGAAAATGTTAATGCGGTTTTGTTGAGTACAACGGTACCGTATGTGCCATATGGTTCAGTGGTACCATAGGGTGCAATGGTACCATAGGGTGCAATGGTACCATATGGTACAATGGTACTAAATGGTGCATGTATGCATTATAGTACATTGTCCCATATGGTACTCTATGGTACTGTTGTATTCAATACAATAACCGCACTAATATTTTCATCATTATTTCGTTTACAAGAATTGTTTACAAAAAAAAAATGCAAAAATGTTGTATATTAGTAATGTTCTATTATATATTTTTACATATGTACAGCCACTGGACATGTTGCTAGAGGTGGATGACGAAGCTCTTTGTCTTGGAAACGGCTGAGTCAGGGGCCTGGGTCCCCACTCACTCAGTCCTGGCTGGTGCCTCCTGGCACCAACACCTACTGGCCATGTGGTACAGGGTATCATATGTTACAGGGTACCATATGGTACAGGGCACCATATGGTACATGGTACCATACAGTACAGGGCACCATATGGTACATATACAAGGATCCCTATTGAAATAAGTCACCCTGACTATTTTGGGTTATCCTAAGGTTTTATACATATGCTGCTATGTATGGTAATCTATGTAACTGTATTTGTGTACCCCTGAATATACTTACTCAAGCGCATGTGGCATTGTAAGTAAGTTTATTTAGGTATACACAAATAAACTTACATAGATTATCATAAATAGCAACATATGTTTGGAGAACCTAGGATAACCAAAAAAGAGTCAGACGTATTTCCATTAGGGTGCCTGTACCCTGTACCATATGGTAAAATGTACCATATGGTACAATGTACCATTTGTACATTGTTCCATATGATACCATTGTATGATATGGCACCATTGTACCTTATGGTTCAGAACCACAGAATTTCTCTTGAGATCCACTTCCATTAGTCTTAAAACTATAAGTTGGGAAGAGGAGAGTCAGAATTTGCCCGGGGAGTGAGAGCTTCCTTGCCGCCAGGCATGGTGAATAAAGCCACTTTGGCAGCGTTCCCACAATGCCATGCGGGCATCGAGATTTTTTCTATGGTGCACACAATTACCACCCAGACCCATTCTCTTTGATGTAGGCCTACCAGCCTTCTCGAGCTAAATTTGAGGCTGCTAGTTCTACGGTTTGGACCCACAACTCAAAGCTATAGAAGTACGGCACGGACCCTGAAAGGGTTAATGTGTGCGTTATTGCTATTTTTTCTTTCTTATCAACACATAAGTTGGCAGGTAAATCTTGGAAACTACTACTTACATCCAGTGTACACTATACATATGCAGGTGTGTGTGTGTACACACAGACAGTGGGGCCAGGAGCCATGTCTCAACCCCTACTACCACAAATAGGTGAGTATAAACACCTAACTTGTAACTAACAAACACATACTCATCTGAGTTTTCTTCTGTATTCCTTAATATTCTTGTCACTATAGTGTTTCTTGTAATTCAAGAAATCATAATAAAATGATTACAAATGAACCAGAGTGCAGGTGGTTTAGTCGCCAGTGACTTACTGGCCTGGAGCTTTACCACTCGCTTGTCATGGGTTCGGACCCCACTGTTTAAATTCGGTAGGGAAATGGGTCAGAATGCTTCTTCCATAAGCTATGCTTTATGGAAAGTGACTGAATTCTGAGAGCTGTGTGCTAATTGCATCTTTTGTATCATTTACTGAAAAGAAAAATATTTTTGTTAACTAATTTGTATATAAAGTGTATACAGCCTCTCCTCATTTAGTGACACACTCCTTTACCAATGCCTCGGACTTAGGATGGGGGTCTCTGACCAGTATTCATACCTAAATAATGTATATTAGAGCTGATTTCCTCTGTTCTGTTTATTTTAATTGTACAGTACACTGCTGTATAAACATTTAAAAATCTATCAGAAATGTTATAAATGATCCAAAGTTGACATTAAAACAATATCAAAGATGGTTGTCACAAACTCACTACCATTATACAGTATATGCTCCTCACTTAGCGAAAAATTCGTTTAATGATGTGGTCTCAAGAACGGAGTTCCATCATTAAGTAAGAAGTGGCTGTATATTTGACTTGGCTAACTCTGCTAACTGTTCAAGGTTTCAGAGTACTGACAAATCATTTACTTTAATTAATATTCATTGTTAACTGATGATTTTTTCCTTGTTGTATTGCTTGTTATTTATAGCAAGGTTATTTCTAAGCACTGATAAGGCAAAATGAGTAGAGATCTGACCCCTGAGTGGCATGTGTTCTCTAACTCATCATTCTACACCATTGTTTAACATGTCACTTCTCATTCATTAGGTTTCTTTATGCTACTGCATATTACACTCAAACTTTGTTTACAGGTGGAACATTTATCACAGCCGTATGCTTGGAAAGCTCGAGATGTATTTGGAGTGATTGTAACAACTACCCCGCCCCAGTTACTTGCCATGATCCAGGCTTTCTTCAATAATGTTCTTCTCATTGATGATGACTTTCTTATTAAAAAAATACTAAGTAAGTCACTACAGATGTTGTTTAAGTTGTATTAGTTTTCTTGAAGCAAAGTCTTAAGTTGTTTGTGTGTCTGCTAAATATTAATTCAAGTAAATTTAATAATACTGAAGTAACCAGCCCAGTGGGGTACTGAGGTAGCTTTACCTGACAACTAACAGCTTGCACACACCCACTCATATAACAACAACAAAGTTAATGCAACTCTAAAGGATTTATAAAGTAAATTAAAATATAATGTTGAGAGTTATATTAAGGATGTAATAAACAAAGAAAAATATGAGAAAATAATACAGACCCAACAATTAAAAATCTGATGAAGGAGAGAGATTTGTGTGAAACAAAGACCATTCATGTCAACTCTGTAAACAAAGCACAGAATTACAGAAGCAAGTAAAATATAAGATATCACAGGACATATAAATGCAGAGATCAACAAAAGACAAGTGAAAATAATCATAAGCAGTTCCTGAAACTCGACAGAGACAAAAATTTATTTATTTTTTTGTTTTTGATGTACTTAGAAAGAAAACATAAATCTGAAAAAAAAAAATAGGAAGAAAGGCTTTTTTATAACATGTCACCATCACCCACCGAGGCAGGGTGACTTAAAAAAGAAAGAAACACTTTCACCATCATTCAACACTTTCACTGCAGAGGCACTCAGATATGACAATGTAGATGTCACACTCCAAACAGTCAATATCCTAAACCCCTCCTTTAAAGTGCAGACATTGTACTTCCCACCTCCAGGACTCGAGTCTATCTGGTTTCCTTGAATTTCTTCACAAAATATTACCTTGCTCACACTCCAACATCTCGTCAGATCCCAAAAACTATTCATCTTCATTCACTCCTATCTGACATGCGCACACATTGACATGCTCACACATGCCTGCTGCATGTCCAGACCCCTTGCACAGAAAACCTCTTTTACCCCCTCCCTCCATCTTTTCCTAGGATGACCCCTAATGCACCATCCCTTCCACTACAGATTTGTACACCCTCCAAGTTATCCTAATTTGCTCCATCCTCTCTAAATGACCAACACACTTCTACAACCTCTCTTCAGCCCTCTGGATAATACTTTTAGTAACTCTACACCTTTTAATTGCTACACTACGAATTCTCTGCATGGTGTTTACAACACACATTGCCCTTAGACACAACATCACTGCCTCCATCCTCCTTGCTGCAGCATTCACACCCATACAAGATACCTCAATGCAAAACTCGTCTTTTTTCCTTCATCAATTCTGTTGTTAACCTCATCCTTCGTAAACCCATCTGCTGACAAATCTACTCCCAAATATCTGAACACATTCACTTCTTCCATACTTCCTCCCTTGAATGTGATATCCAGTTTTTCTTTACCTAACTCGTTTGATACTCTCATTGCGTTATTCTTATCTGTGTTCACTTTCGACTTTCTTCCTTTACACACCTTCCCAAACTCGTCCACTAACCTTTGCAATGTCTCTTTAGAATCTTCCAGAAGCACAGTATCACCAGCAAAAGGTAACTTTGTCAAGTTCCATTTTGTATTTGATTCCCCATTATGATGATCAAGAAATACATAAATGACATCTGTAAAGAAAATGTGGCTTGATGTACATGTTGTGGTTGCTCTGAGGTACAGGTCCACTGTCACAAATCCCGCAATCAGACATCCGGTTCCATCAGTTATTCGGCACTAAATTTGGCTAGCATAATTTCAAATTTCCAGGGTCGCCACACTAACATGCTAGTACTGTTTGGTGGCGCTACTTACTGCATAAGTCATCCCAGTTTCATTCTCTCCATTTATTGTTATAACCTGATTACTTTTAGCCCTAGCCATGGTTCCACCAAATAAAAGAAATGCTTCTCGTTATGTAAAGCACCTATACAGTACATTGTCCATTAAAGATAAGGTGGCTTTGAAGCTACTGTTGGTTACCATGAGCTCAGTCTTGTAATGCAGGAGAATATGCTTTATTATTATGCTAATATCAACACTATGGCTTATTTGCCTATCACAATTGATCTAATAAGACATAATAAACAGTATAAATAACATAAAAACATGTTAAATACTCCAGGATAAATAATATTTGGCCTAATACCGAGCAGTTCGACGGAGGTATGAAGAGGATACCGGATACAAGTACCATTTTCCTATCCCTGTCTTGGGGACTTAAATTAGAGAAAGGGGAGTATAACACAGGGCTAACTATGATATACACTCATACTGCACCATAAAACTGAAACAAAAAAGCTATTTTCTCTACATAGATTATCACACATAGCAACATATATGTAGAGAACCTAAGATAACCCAAAAAAGTCAAAGTGGCTTATTTCTAGTACATACCTTGCTTGGGCTAGCCATTTATGATTTTTGGTAAATATTTGTTTCTCAGCCAGGGTAGAAACATTGGGCACGTTTCTTTACACCTGTTGTCTATGTTCACCCGTCAGTAAATGGTGTCTGGGTGTTAGTGGACTGGTGTGGGTCTTATCCTGGGACACTGATTTAATTTGCCTGAAATGCATAGCATAACAAGGGGCTTTCTATATAGTAGTATGTCATTGATGTCAGCTAGACCCGTATACCATGTATATGTCTTCTTTCTTTCAACACACCGGCCGTATCCCACCGAGGCGGGGTGGCCCAAAAGGAAAAACGAAAGTTTCTCCTTTTACATTTAGTAATATATACAGGAGAAGGGGTTACTAGCCCCTTGCTCCCGGCATTTTACTTGCCTCTTACAACACGCATGGCATATGGAGGAAGAATTCTGTTCCACTTCCCCATGGAGATAAGAGGAAATAAACAAGAACAAGAACTAGAAAAAAAATAGAAGAAAACCCAGAGGGGTGTGTATATATATGCTTGTACATGTATGTGTAGTGTGACCTAAGTGTAAGTAGAAGTAGCAAGACGTACTTGAGATCTTGCATGTTCATGAGACAGAAAAAAGGACACCAGCAATCCTACCATTATGTAAAACAATTACAGGCTTTCGTTTTACACTCACTTGGCAGGACGGTAGTACCTCCCTGGGTGGTTGCTGTCTGCCAACCTACTACCTAGGTATTATTATTATTTTTTTTTTTTCTCTCTCAGTTGTTTGTTGGGCTATCTTATGTAAAGGTGCTTCTTAATGTACACCAAAAATGAAAGAAATCAGACCATAAATAATGGAGTTCACTTCTCAGCCATTAGCAACCGCATAGCGGTATTTTTTCGTATGGTTTTTATGGTTGTATTCTCGTTTTTTTTGGTCTCATTTGATAGAATGGAAGATGCGTATATTACAGAAATAGATATGATTTTGATTGCTTTCACAAAGAAAAGTAGCTTGAAATTGCACTCACAGTAGCGGAAATGTTCCATTCTTTAGCGATGTTCAAGAGTAAACAAATACCGTCACTGTCTAATATGTGTGCGCCTGCCAGTCCAAATTCCAAAACGCAGTCAAAAATGGGTTGACATTATTTATACAATTATTACAATAATGCAGTGGTCTGCATAACAGTAAATCTTCTATTTTTTGTGTAATGTAAGAGGGGCCTGGAGCTATGACTAATGAACAGAGAAAATGTTACTTTAGTGCCATGAATGTCTGCAATGTTTATTCTTGACCCTATTTTGAAATTGGCATCTGTTGAAATTTATGTGAAATTGGCCAAATTGCCAATTTCTGACCACTTTATTGGGTAATTGAAATAGGTGAATGGATGGTTTCTTGTACTCAGTTGACAGAATAGAAGTAAGTAAATAAGTAAGTTTATTCAGGTACATGTATATACACAAATACAGTTACATAGATTATCATACATAGCAGTGTATATATAGAGAACCTAGGATAACCCAAAATTCAAACAGTGACTTTATTTCCAGTACCTGGCTTGGGCTTGCCATATACTGTATGATTTTTGGTAAATATTTTTTTCTCAGTTGTTTGTTGGGCTATCTTAATGAAACTTGGGCACTGTATGATGGAAAGATGCTTCTTAACCTGCACCAAAATTAAAAAAAAAAAGGGACAATAAATAAGGGAGTTCACATCTCAGCCATTAGCCTCAGCCATTAACCGTCTCTTTGCCATATATTTTCATATGGTTTTTGTGGTTGCATTCTCGTTTTTTGGTTTCATTTGATAGGATGAAAGATATATTACAGAAATAGATATGATTTTGATTGGTTTCACAATGAAAAGTACCTTGAAATTGAGCTCAAAGTTGCGGAAATGTTTGATTTTTGCCGATGTTCAATGAACTTTGTGTAAGTCAAGTTGGTTAATTTTATTAAGTGTATTCTAACCTAACCACTCTGTAATCCGGCAAACTCAGTAATCCGGCACACTACAGGTCCTAATGATGCCGGATTTGTGATGGCAGACCTGTACATGATTTCAAGCATAAATGTAAAACACTTAAACACGAGAATTAATCCTATTCGAAAGAAAAATGAAAAATGAAATATAAAAAATTATACTTGAATTCAAAGCTAATTTGTACAGATGCTGGTGTCCTTTTTTTTCTGTCTCATAAACATGCAAGATTTCAGGTACGTCTTGCTACTTCTACTTACACTTAGGTCACACTACACATGCATGTACAAGCATATATATGTATATATACACATCCCTCTGGGTTTTCTTCTATTTTCTTTCTAGTTCTTGTTGTTGTTTATTTCCTCTTATCTCCATGGGGAAGTGGAACAGAATTCTTCCTCCGTAAGCCATGCGTGTTGTAAGAGGCGACTAAAATGCCAGGAGCAAGGGGCTAGTAACCCCTTCTCCTGTATAAATTACTAAATTTAAAAAGAGAAACTTTCGTTTTTCTTTTTGGGCCACCCTGCCTTGGTGGGATACGGCCAGTTTGTTGAAAAAAAAAAAAAAAAAAAAAAAATAATATATATATATATATATATATATATATATATATATATATATATATATATATATATATATATATAATATATATATATATATATATATATATATATATATATA